AAGAATGGTTTCTTTTTTCTTTTAATTTCATGGATGTGGTGAAGGAGGACATGCAGAGGATTGGGATGTGTTGGGATCCCTTCACCCCAACTGGTCACAGCAGATTCCGGCATTCCGGTTCTGGCAGAACCTGAGTCTGGGTTCTGCCAGAGTTTACTTCCCGTTAAAAGGGAGTTTTTCCTTCCCACTGCTGCCAAGTGCTTGCCCTAAGGGGTCAATTGATTGTTGGGTTTTTTCTGTGTTGTTGTAGGGTCTTAACCTTACATTATAAAGTGCCTTGAGGAGACTGCTGTTGTAATTTGGTGTTCAAAGCTCATTTGCTGGTGTTGTGTTTTATTCATGTTCATGTTAGCTAAGCACAGACCTTCTCAAAGTGCGGGGCCTGCCCCCTAGGGGAGGCGCAGAGCCATGGCAGGGGAGGCGCAGTATGAAAAGAGGGGGAAAAAAACAAAACGCTTGGACACTGCTACCATGGGGCGCCCACGGACACGCAAAGCAGGAGATGAAGCATGGCTGAATATGTTTCCAAACCAACTTCATTCTAAGCCAAAGACTAGAAAATATGGTGAAGCATATCTTCCCTTTGGCTTCACCTGCACACAAGTGCCAAGGTAGGTCTCCCCTGCAGAATTGGTTTTACCTTGTTGGGAGCATGCGCTGGGCTCTTCAAATCACGGACAAACAGTATCCCACATTCTTGATTAAAAGGAGTTTTAAAAAATTATCAGTTTTCGGTGATTCGAAACGCCGTTTACGTGTGGAAGAAACAGCTGCGTTTTCAAAAATACCCGTGTAGGTGTGGACGTAGCGTAAAAGAGTTAGTAGTTTATTTTATTACTACCTGCAGATTACTTGTATTTGCTTAATTGTTTACTAAATGTTTGAGGTGTGAAATAAACCGCAATGGAGCAAAATGGGGGGGCGAACATTATTCTTGTAAAACAAAGTTTGGGAACCACTGGCTTAGCAGAGCAGTGACACCATGAGTGCAGCAGGCAGCTGTGTTAATTAATTGAGGCCCCTCCTCTGTGTTAGAATAATGACCCATCTGGGGAATTTCAGGCCACCTTGCCCATCTTCTTCCACACACCACAGAACTAACAGCCTGATGATATAGATTTAACGAGACAATCAGGACAAGGTCGGATTTAATAATTCTTTTGAATTTGATTGGCCCACTGTGCCTAGACCAGGCAATAGACACATGACAGTCAACTTTGAACTAGCCAATAGGTGGAGGCTTGACACCTGAAAGGTAAAAAGAACACAAAAGCAAAGCCACATCTCTTGGCACGTAACAGTGGACTACTGAATTTCCTCTTTAAATACCAGAGTATCTGTATTTAAGATGTTGCCCATGTGTTCAGCTGCTAGTGGGGGGAGGGGCTGTGTGTCAGATGGAGGAGACAAAGATGGGTATGTTGTTGAAAATGAATGAAATGAAAAGCATCTAATTTGATAGTAATCTTTATTGGTACCCAAATATCACTCTCTTTTAACAAAACCCTACCTGGCAAAAACCAAAGTACTGTCATGTTTTCAGAAATTTAGTACTGAAAGGTAATGTAAATACTGGTTTTGGTGACATCCCTGATTATACTCGTGCTATAGTTTATTTTTTTTATTTTTTTAGTAATACTATTTAGTAAAGTGAAAACATGGTGTAACATCTTGAGATATCAGCTAGTTTTGTGGCTTTCTGCTGCCTCCTAACTCTGCTCAAGCCCTGTTTCATGGACGCCTGGATGTTAAAGAGACCAGCCTCACTGACTGTTTTATTGGAGCTGAAAGACATTTTGACTGTCACTGATGTTGCCGTCTTTGATCTGGGAAACTGAAGGAACATTTGGACAGGAAATGACTAATTATGCCAGACTAAGTGAATTACACCCAGCACCTTTAAATCCATTGAATAAACAATGTCCAGGGCATCCTGCTATATTCAGCCAGCACATTGTGCAGGCATTGTGCCGAAGAGACATGAAAGAGAAGCGTCAGAGTCTGTGAGCCTTGTAGTTTGATATTCAGGCTGAAAACATGAAACCTTTTTTTTTCCTGCCTTCGCTGCTCTGATCTTGAAGATATCGACACTCAGACCAGCTGCAGTCAAACAGAAGCACGCAGGACTGGTCAGACCAATGGTATTTGGACACTTAGAGTGCACTCAGGGATCTTGTACTAACAAGATGCTGACGCTCTCTAGTTGGTGAGATTTTCAGTTAGTGAATTTAAAAATATTATGGCTGAATATTAAAATGTTGGCTGATGAGGGTCCAGCCATTAGAATCAATCAGAAGGGTCGGCTGGAGACGAGAGAATCCAGAGAAATGTGAAGTTGTACTGCCAGAAACTTGAGAGGCAGCTTTTAGGCTTTTGAGGGATGAACTGTGCGACTTGCAAATGCCCCCCCCCCCCCCCCCCCCCCCTTCCACAGACACAAAGCCTACCCTGAATGAATGAAATCAGGGAATCAGGAGAGATGGAGGGTTTCACCAAGAAAAGTCTACACTCCCCAAGAGACATGGGGAAACACTCATTTTGTGTGTGTGAGTGAGAGAGAGGAAGAGAGAGAAGCAGAGCTGGGAAAGAGAGAGAGTGAAGCTGTTTTCTGAATCGTGTGGCAGCGTCTAGCTTTTCCATTAGTGGAAGGGAGGAAAAAAAGCTTGGTGCTTTTTGATGTTACATCCAAATGTTCCTAAAATTTCACGCTGAACAACTTTAATGGGAGCAAAAGGTTTAGCTGAGACACACTCACACTCACACACACGCACACTTAGGAGGATTGGAATTTTTGTGCATAAATTTGCCATGTGTGCTGTGAATGTGTTTGCGTGCACCTGTGCAGTCAGAGTCTGCATGTGTATTTCTGTCAGCATAGAAATCCTACATCACCCTCTGTTGATCCGACATGTTCAGCATGCTTTCAGTAAATTGCTTGTAGAACATAAATGACTCAAGGAAAGAGGGGTGGAATAAATGGGGGGATATAACCTCACGCTCCACGGTTTGAACTTTTCAATTCAGCCAATGCCATTTCAAAACCAGGTGCATTAAAAGGCAGAAGCACAGCAGGAGTATGGCTTACAGCGGCAGAAAGCATTTAAAACCTTTTTTGGGACACAGTCAGCAAGAGTTTGTCACCACCCGTGAGTGGTGATTGTGTATGTGCAGGTTTTTGTGTCCCGTGTCCTCTGCAATCACCAATCACCAGATAGGCAAATAGCCTCGTCACAGTGTAAACAAACCCTGAATCAAAAAAAACATGAAGCACGAAGGTGATCACGGTTTCTTAGGCAGAGGTCTCTAAAGGACACAGCTGGGAGATTCCTAAATACTCCTCAGCCATCGCTGTGGATGGTAGGCGTGTCCGAGGATATGCCTGAGCTAGACTCGTGCATTTGATTGACCAATTGGATGTGAAGGCTGGGGAACACCTACTCTGATTGAGTAACAGTAACACAGCACTGCAAAGACTCCTTATGTGTGTTTTTGGGAATCTGTGAAGAAGCATCATGTCGAGGATGTTCCATTAGCAGAGAAACACTGACCCCTTCCTCAGGTCACTCATACGTACAAATATTTGTGAAAGGAGGTAAATGTGTGGCTTATTTGCTTATTTAAATGCATTTAAATGACTCCTTTTTCATGTTATGACTCGTGCTGGTGGCTCAAAGGATTAACGGCCATGATTTAGCTGTTTGAGCAGCTGTCTCCTTATTTTTGATTTAAGCAGTGCTATAGAAGCCTGAAAGCGTTTCAGGATCTGGCAACATGCCACGATTGTTTCAGCCGCTCGTAATTTGAAGTCTGCTGCACTTGGTTAATAACATTTACCAGAACGATGCGTGAGCTTCACCTCATCTGCTTCTGTTCCCATGAGCGAGGCGCGGAGCTGTCAGTTTCTGCAGTAAAACATATGAATATGAAATAAGACGACTGTGAGAAATGTTACACCGCCAAGCTTTTCTTATTGGAACGAGGGCTCTGAGACGCGTGCACGTGCATGCTGGCGTTTCTGACGTTGGCTGTGGTTTTGGCTGCCGCAAAGGCCGAGCCTGAGATCAACGGAGGCCATTGTTGCCCCGAGCGAGAGAAGCAAACCATTCTTTCCACTTTCCATTTCAGCTCTTGTCTGTTATTATTTTTTTTCCTCAGGAAACGTTCTTGTTTCCAGCTGTTGTTAAGGGCGATGAAGGCCAACATGTTTCATGTTTAGAAAATTTTATATCAAGCTTCATTAACAGCCAACATTTTACGGTTGGAGGTGGATAGGGCTATACGTGGCCCCGTTACCGGGGATGTGAAAATGTGAAATATGACTTTATATTAACTTAAATATGGAATCTCAGCCGGCCGAAGTGCAGCATGTATCGGTACCTTTAAATGAAAGTGGTTTTCTTTGGATCGCAGAGAACTGAACACAGCTGCTCTTGTTTTTTTATTTTCTGCCAAGATTTTCACATTTTTGTTTAAAACTTAAGAATTTGACTGCTTCTTGATACAAGGGTGACTCACTCACTTTGCATGTGCATGCTTGTGTGTTTTCAATGTAAACTTGCAAGAGACTGGTTGTGGTGTCAGTCTGCTAGTTTGATTACACTCTGGATTAACTGCACGAGTTGTTCTGGCTCATAACTGAAGTGCAATTGCTCCAAGATTACTCCTGAACTACTCTTCTTGCATCTTATCTTATTGTCCTGTAAACAGCAATAAAACATACTGGGTTTGTCTTCTGAGTCCTTCTTGAAAACCTTTCTTGATCCCTGACTGGCTGACTGGGCTGCGTTTGTCCGTGAGAACTACTTTGCCTATTGACTTCTAAAGATTGTATGAAATATGTCTGTTCCCTGTCCGTTTCACATCTTATGGCCCTGTAGTCCTGTACTCTTTGTCTCATTCTTATCCCCATGTCCTTGTTTACTAAGCGTCCTGTCTCCGTTATGTTGCTGCCTCATTGAAGGTTGTCACAGTGTGAACACTCATGAATTTATCACCCCCAGTACTGGGCTGCGCCTCCACAAACTGTAACCTGGTGCTAACGGAGGCCCAGGGAGAAATCACATCACCGTGCTATCCCCAGAGATACCCCAATTCGTACAACTGTAGGTGGATCATGCAGGCCCCCACCGGCTTCATTATCCAGCTGTCCTTCCTGGACTTTGAACTGGAGGAGGCGCCGGGATGCATCTATGACTGGGTGAAGGTGAATACAGGCAGCGCTGAAGTTGTGTTCTGTGGTCTGACGGCCAACGGGCTGACGCTAAACTCAACGGGGAACCAGATGGTGCTGTCTTTTACCTCCGACTTCAGTGTGCAGAAGAAAGGCTTCAGAGTTAGCTTCCAACATGGTAGGTGAAAGCCGCCAACAGGGTCCTGATCTTCAGCTGTGTCTTAAGTCAGGCATTAAACAATAAGAGTTTGAGGATGGGTTTGGTGACAAGGACGGCTCATTTGGTTACATCAAAGGGCCGATGTTACAGTATGAGGATTACAAATGCTCTGCTCACTAAACTCTGACCAAAAGCACCATTGTCACATGTAACACACAGTGTTTAATCAAGGAGAATTTGGTCCAGGAGGTTTTTCTCACGCAGGTGTGAACCCACTTTGGTTTGCTGACATGTGAAATCTTTGCAGCCGACCATTAGCAGTCCAACAACCAGCCAGTGTTTATGTACTCACAGATGGAGGGTGTATGTGTGCAGCATACTGCAAAGTTTCAAACTGGTAAAAACCAGCAGGGGTGTCAAATGTACGGCCCGCTGGCCACATCCGCCATACAATTATATCCAGCCCATGAGATAATTTCATATGTCAGTTATTGATAGCCCTGCTGAGAATCCATGCGGACGGGGGCGGGACTTTAATTTGATAGGAATGATACATAAAAAAAAAACTCCCTTATGGCTGTTCGTACTGCACAAAGTAATTTACAGTACGATAAACAATTAACCTGCTGAACACCAATGCCCCGTTACCGGAGACGAGAGGGAGAACATCTGGTTTAATGTGATGTACAGAGATCTGTTATTTAAACATAGACGTGTGTGGTATCCACGGGAACGTCAGAATCTCAGCTGAAAGCTCACAAAACCATTTTAACGACCACCAAACAGCTGAAACAGCAAATGATGAAAGAACAGGTAAACAGACTCTGCAAAAAGATGTAAACACAAAGTACGGCGCGTTCACCTGATGGCGTATACATGGACACACCATCAGTGCTGACGTCTCACAGATTCTGATCTTGCAACCTCATTTCTGCTGTTCAATTCCGAAGAAATTTCAACTTTCACAAATTCTGCCAAATAACAAAACACGTAGCTTTGTCTCTAATAAAACCTCAGTGAAAAACAAAGGTTTCTGCTTTTCACTTTCTACCATAAAAATCTATTTTTTAAGACTTAAGTTAAAATCTAATGGACAGTATCGAAAATGGGCTAGCAGAACTTTTTCTGCAATTTTACATATTTATTTCTTACAGTTTAAGTCCAAAGAGTTGCGCTGACAGATTTCTTTCTTTCTCACAGCAAAGAACGAAATCAATTAAACACATAACTGGCCCACTTTAGGTCAAAGTTTGCTGTAAAATGAGTTTGACACCCCTGGCATAAAGCCTTAAATCATGTGAAGAGGCCTCATGGTCTCTGAATGAACCAACAGGTGCAGATAACATATAGTGTTAGCTTAGCATGGATTTCAGGGCAGTTTGTCGGCCCAGGAAATGTTGGACATTGGACTGGAGAGTGGAAAGGCTTTGTTGTTTAGTACCAGGTGTCCAGTGTCATTGCACTCCCTACTCTTCATTCACCAACACGTTAAGACACCTGCCATCAATGCCTGTGTACAGCTCCTAGCTCCAGCTTAACACCATGACAACAAAGCTGTTCCTAAATCAGAAACATTTATCATCTATCATCTAAAAACAGAGGGAAGTGTTTCCACACCAGTTGTTTCATCAGTGATAAAAAGTATAATCAGTCAATCAATTTCCTGGTTTGTATGAGAGGCTGAATTGGACTTGGAAACTACATTGTCTCCTCGCTGGAGGCCAGCCTCTTGACTTTAGCTGTATGAGTTCATGCACAGTCTGACTGAAGGTGCATGTTTTTAGGTTATCGTGCAGTCAAGAGACCGAAGCGTCTCAGATGTCACAGACAGTCCGATGTGTCACCGACTGACCCAACGCTGTTGCAGTGTGTTGATGCACCGTGTGTACCTGCCTTCCTGCATGTTTGCTGTGTATATTTGAGCGCTTTTCCAGTGAGCAGTGAGAGATGACAGCTCCAGCCAGAGCCGCTCTCCTGCTGAGAAACGTCGTTTGACATGACGCTTGAGAAAGGCTGAGGTCCTGGTTAGGAGCTGCTTGTGGATAAAACGTCTGTTTTCTGAGAGTCGAACTCAGACTCATCATCACCGCTTTGCTTTTTTCAGTCAAACTTTCATTTAAAAAGTTCGGCACATGAAGCAAATATTATCACCAAATCACATCTGAACAATAATAATTCGCTTTGTTGGGTGAAATCGAGTTTTGATTTGACCTATTTAAACTGAAAAACCAATCAAAGACTCGGTAATTTTCCCTTCTGTGATTCTGAGTTTTTACTCCCGTTTTGTCCTTTTTTTTTTTTTTTAAACATTTCTTTCTTTCCTTGATTGAATTTCTGGATTTCTTTTTTTTTTTTTATCTCTTTACATTTCTTGCTTCTCCTACTTTCTATTTTTGTTATTTTTACTCTCTTTCATTCTTTGGTGCTTTTGTTCTGGAATTTTGTCTTTTATTTCATTTCTGTCTTTTTTCCTTTTTTATCCTGAATCTTGAAATTTTCCTGAATTTTCTTTTATTCTTTTTGCTCTTTCACCTTGTTTCCTTTTGCTGTTGCTTGCTTCTTTCCTGTTTCTTTCCTCCTTTTTACTTTTCTCGTCTTTTGTCTTTACTTCTCGTCCTTCCTTCTTCTCGATGTCCTTCTCTGCGTTTTAGTTGCTGTGGCCCTGAGGAACCAGAAGATCAAGATGAGCAGCGGTGTCGGGCAGATCACAAAGGTCGCCAATTCTGTTTCCATCCCTGCGCTGAGTCAGCTGACCATATGCTTCGAGGTGGAGCGCACCAGCCTGAAACAGGTCTGGATAAACGTCACTTTTTGATTTGACTAAACTCCATCTGGTCATTAATTTCTTTATTTCATTAACTTTTTTTTACAGCTTCAGTCTTAAGTAAGTCAAATCATAAGAAAATAGACCCGTTTAGGGGCTTTAAATTATTTAATTTATACGCACATGTGTGTTATTCATCCCACCAGAGCAAGTTTGTGTTAGCTATTGTTCTCGTTCCCTGAACAGAAAGAATGGATCTTCACTTACTCCAAAGACAGCAGCGCCATGTTGCTGAGTCTTGGTTCCGATGGAACGGGGATGAAGATGGTGGTTGATGGAGTGGTCTGTCCAATAGACAACATCATCTTACCATCTGACTTCACTAACTCCATGAAGTCCTTCTGTGTCCTCTGGACATCATCAAATGGACGTGTGGCTGTTTACTTCAATGGGAACTACTTGGCCAAGGCCTGCTCCAGCTCCACCGGACACTCCGTGCAGGCTGGGGGAGAATTCCGGATAGGAAGTAAGCTCCAATACGAGTTGTATGTTTTTGATGCATTTTGTTAGACGTGCACGTAAAGTGTCAAACCACTTTAAAGACATTCTGCAGAGAAACTTCACCACCCAGTAATCACAGGTTTGGGGATCTGCGGGATTATGAGATGTGAAACTGTGTGCATTAAAGGATAAAATGGATGAAAGACACTCGTAGACAGAATATTAAAGCAAAAAAAAAAATCCTGGAATGCTGATTCTCTGCGTGACATTTCATGGCGCCCTGTGATGTCACATACAGTAACCTTGGTTTGATAAGTGATGCAGACACTTCTGTTAGTAAGCGGGAAAGTCTCAAGCCCTGCTCTATGGTGCTGAGCTCATTACTAACCCGCTTCTACCTAAGCAGACATTGATGTAACTGCATACTTTGAGGATGTGGAATTATTATTGTGATCTTAGAGGAAAATAATTTAATACATTTCTGCAATGCTCAGTGCTGTTTTTCTGGGATTTGTTCAGGTCAGCAGCAGAGCTTCGATGGGAACATCTACAACCTGCGGCTGTGGAATTACGCCATGTCCATTCAGGAGCTCGGCGCATTAAAGTGTGACCACGTGGGGAATGTCATCGACTGGGACAACAGCTACTGGACCATCCCGGCCTCTCTGGCCCAGACGAACACCTCGCTCAGCTGCAGTGAGTACAGGAAAGAAATCAAAATGTGATTAAACAAGCACGATGGCGGGAACAGGGGGTGTGCTGCATGGGCTGTGATAGAGCCACGTGTGTTGCAGGTCAGGGGTGTCACACTGAACTGCCAGGAGGCCTGAACTGGGTCACTGGATGGAAATGTGCAAAAAGGAGAGAACTTTTTTATTCGACTTTTTTACTGCATGAGCACCGATCAGAAAGTTTGTTTCTCTGCACATCCAGCTGCTAATCTTAGATCACTCCCTGGAAGTCCAGTCTGACACTTCGCTATCTAAACAGACCTCGAACACGATCAAAATTTTTAATGACGGATCAATGCCAGGATCGGAACATTCTGAGCCCGACGGCAATGAGTGAGAGCAGGAGCACGATCGCCATGTTTTTAAATCATTTATTGGCTGTTCTGTGATGAATGAGACCCCTGAGGTATCTGCGCACACAGCACTCTGACTGTGAAGGAGATTTTTGGCTGCACCGACACATCGCCATCTTCAGTCACGATCTAAACCGCTTGGCAGATTTGCTGCATCGTTGCCCACTTCCCGAAAAATAAAACCGAAGTTGAATGATGACCAGTTTGACACTTTTAGAGAGATCCCGCAGCCATCACAGAGGGACTCTAAGAATAGCAGCGGCGCTAAAAGCAGGCACATTTAAATGAGGCTTTTCATTTGCATCGAGCGTTCCCGTAAGCTTCTGCTCACACCTCGTGTTTCACACTAGGAAGCATTGTGTTTCAAGTCAACCGGGCTGCGTCACCGCGGTGGCGTCCGACCCAGAGGTCTGAATCATTGTCAGCATTACATTACCCACAGCCTGCCACAACACACAGAAAAAAGGCGGTTAAATCGAGAAGCCGCGCTGACACGTTTCTTTGATTTACAACATTAGACTGAGCAAATGTGGAAAAGCTGAAACACGAAGAAGAAACTAAAAAACTCAAACTCTGTTCTTTAGCTGGAACCAGCGGTCCACACAGAGGAGTCAGGAAGAGCCGAGAGACGTTCTAACACATCATATTTGCTGAGTGTGCACACTAAACGTTGCCATGAAAACATTTTTCTTCCCATTTACTGTGGCACCAAGAAGTCGCATGTCTCTCCCACACACACACACCTCCAGGTACTCCTCAGTCAGCACTTCAGTCTGTTTGCTATCAGCGTGGAAAATTAGAACCAGACATCAGCCAAATTCTGGTAGATTTTAGCTGCGCCTGGTGACTTAATCAGCTCCAGCAACCTGTTTGGCTGCTGATCAGAAATCGCTGTGATTCCTGCTCTGGTCCACAAACCCACTTGGCTGGTGAAACACACAGACACAGATGTGTGCTACTGTACCGCTCCGAATGGAGGCATGTACATTTAAATGACTCAGTTATTAAAGATTTCTCACTGTTTTTATTAACATGTTTTGCACACATACACACACCCACTAGTACAAACCTGCGTGTACATTTGTGTTTGTGTGTGCGCGCGCGTGTGCGCGCGCCGACAGTGCAGTACCTCCTAGTTAAAGCTTTGTAAATGAGCGTATAGCCACAGGAGGTTAGCCACAGCGGTTTTAGTGAAATTCCAGCCAACACTGTACCCACTGGAGAAAGAGCCTTCTGTGTGTGTGTGTGTGTGTGTGTGTGTGTGCATGCCTGTTTACCTCTGAGACTTGTGGTGGTTTTTCAGAAATGCATGATTCTGCACTAACCTTCCATATTGTCCTGCGCTTACAGTAAGAAGCTGACATTATTATCTTTTCCGGGGGGTGGGGGCATTCACTTTAGCTGTACCTGAAACTTTATCTGTGAGATCCACACATACAGAGACTTTATAGACCGAGACATGAGTGAGGTTTTTCATGTTACAGCTTTGACATGGTGCAGCACACAGTGCACAACAAGCTTCAGAGCGACATCAACACTTCAGTCAGTTAAATCAGTAAGTAGATGGAAAACACATAAGAAAGTGTTTAAGACTGCAGGCATTTCCATTTCGGGTAACCTCCACACATCTGCAGACACGCACTTTTGATTTTGAGGGATCTGCCTAATTCCTGGAGCTTCAGACCACCTACGCTGGTTTGACTGATGTGCTGAAGATTAAACGCTGCCTGAGTGACTGATGACTTACTTTCTGTCTTTTGTTTATTAAGTGTGTCAACCTCACATTTGCATTTACAGATCTCTCCAATGATTCTTGTCTGTATTGTTTTGGAACTCATGCCCACTAACCTGTCCCTCTCTTCACAGTTTGCTACCCTCATTGTATTCACTTAACAACTACTGCGCCAGCTAGTGGTGAGTGCTGCTAACACCTTGTGTGCACCTGTGTGAGTGTGAGTTTATGTGTGTGTTGGCTTGTGCTAATGCATGAACTGGGATATGTAACGGTCTCCTTTTATCATTCTAACACGGTAGCCTTTGGATTCATTCAAAAAAAAAAAAAAAAAAACTGATCACAACTGATCAAGATGGCAAAAGATTATCTGCTGCGAGGGCCATCCAATTGATTTTGGAAGAGAGAGGGGCTTCGGATGATGATGTTGACAAAGAGGGTTCAGAATATTTCACATTTCTGAAAATTCAGAGTCTGACAGTGACTTTGAAGAAGAGGATGAGGTTGATCACCATTTAGTAACAAAACGAAGACGAGCACCCCATCTGCTGCCAGCTCCAGGACCAGAACAAGCCCACCAGACAGCAAGTGAAGAAATATGGATGTCAATAACTGGTGAAATTGAATGGTCTTCTTGCCCAAGAAATGAGCCACCCTACAGAGCTGTTACTGTGATAAGCCAGGGCCAACACGGCTGACAGGTACTCATGTGCAGGATATCAAGTCTTCATTTGAGCTTTTCATCCCAGATTCCATCCAGAAAATTATTCTGGATTGCAGTAATTTAGAAGGAAGGTGTGTTTTTGGAGAGAGGTGGAAGGAGATGGACCAAATTCATCTAAGAACCCCAAAGTAGGCCTTTGAGGTTCTTATCCTTGCAGGAGTTTTGAGGTCCAAAGGGGAATCCACAGAATCCGGCAGAAACCGGCAAGAACCTTTCCATGCATCAATGTCTCTGGAAAACTTCCACAAAATTTCCAGGATTATCCGTTTTGATAACCGAGATGACAGACCAGCTCGACGGCAGAGAGACAAGCTAGCTGCCATCAGGACAGTGTGGGATAAGTGTGTGGACCACCTCCCCCTGTTTTTTACTCTGGGCCTAATGTCACCATTGATGAGCAGCTGATCCCATTTAGTTGTGAAACATATTGCTTGACGTGTAAATGTGTTGTCTTTCCACTCACTCCACTTGATTACAACTGATTTATTTATTTCTAACATTTTATAAAAAAAAACAACAAAAAAACGAGAAGCACATTAATTCATAAATGTGATCTAACAAAGGTAAAGGGAAAAAAAATAACCATGTTTACTGTTCATATGGCTTGTAATTGGGATGAAGTAAACATCTGTTGAGTAATTTAACATAAAATTGTTTGATAGTGTTAATTTGGAAAGCCAAAACTCTAGCGGGTCCACCAGACCCATGAACACTGGCTGAGTAACAAAAATATGAACACCACACAAGGGTTAATGTAGAAAAATCAGCAAAACATAATCACAAAACAAAAGATCTTCCCCAGCAGCAGTTATTTAAAGGTTCTGTATATGTTATTCTCAGATTATTATAGGTTCAGATTATCAGCTGTGTATGAAAGCTGTAGATTATGCTCTGTGGCATTTTCCATCAATTTCCGGATGCACTTTGAAGCCTTGACTTTACCAGGATGTTTTTTTGGCCTGTATTAAAGCAATCCATATACTGTACAGATGCAACACGCATCTCTTCTCTGTGCATTAAATACTGTCATAACCCTGCAGCCGAATCATCCAGCGATACAGAAATGCATTGTTAGATAAACTAAACTCTTTTTTTCATTTCATCATCAGTATCCAGAGGTTCCCAGGATTAAAACACCATTAAAGTCTCTTCTTTCACATGTTATAAATTAAACATCAGTAATCGTATCATATCAACTCATAATGAAAGTAACTTTTGCTCGTATCCCTAGATGATCACATTTGCTGCAGCTGGCCTTCCACATTTTGCTCAGCAGCAATCGCAGCAGAATTAGTAATAAATAAACATGACATGAACTTAATTGGTCCCTGCAGGGAAACTGGATAATTACAGCAGGAGGAAACACAAACAGAGGATTAGTCTGGAGAATAAAATGTGTTGGGAGTCATTCGCAGATGTCTGCTGCTCGGAGATTAGAAATGATTTGATGTCACACTCATTCACAGGTTTGTGTAGCAGAGGTTCAAATGCAGGTCAAAGCTTGTGCAAATGGATTCAGATACACATAAATGCCATTTACACAGAAGCAGTAACAGCAGTGGGAAGGTTTGGAAAAGTCTGAAAAAGCCCTGGAATCTTTTTAATTTCATTCGCTGTCATTCATTGAAGAAAAATGTGATGCGTCTTTAGATTTTTGGACAAAACAAGCAAATATTTTAAATTTTTGCTTAAAAACTGAATAATTATTGAGCTCCAGATTTTAAATCATCTGTCCTTATTTGGTGGTGATCCAGCTGTTTGCAGTGACCTCTCTGTTAATGTCTTTACTATTATTAAGTTTAATTAATGTTCAGGAATTTCAGTTATGTGATCTTTACTTGTCATTGAATTAGACATTTTTGAGGCGAGTCAGGAATAATTGATTGTTCTGTATTGATAAAGCTTATTGATAATTAATAAATAATAATTAGGTGTATACACTAAAAACTGTTTGTGAACTCCCACAGAGACAGTTCCAGACAAAGCTGTGTTTTATTATTTAAATAAATAATCATTTAAAATGAGTTCTTAGAAGTGAAAGTGGCCCTGGCCGCCCGTTGACCCCCCGCCTCCGTGTTCTTCATTTAATTTATTATATAGTTAAAAAGCGCTTTGTATGTGCTTGGAAAGAAAAAGTTCATTCCATGAAGTGGAAT